ACCTGCAGTCTCCACTGTTTTACTGCAAAAACTGTTTGTAAAGCAAGAATTGTGCTGATCACATCAAAACTCATTAATATAACTTGTTTTTCCATTATTAGCACCATCTGATCCTGTTGAAAGCCTTAACCACGGCTTTAATTTTTCCACAGAGAGCTTTAAATTAATTAGTGGTTTACATGCTAACAAAGAATCTGATACATTCATAAATCAATCTAATGCAGAAGGATTACCGGAGGGTGGAAACCTATTCAGTGGGGAGCTCACATTCACTTAACGTGGTGTGTTTTCAACAAAAGGGTGCAGGTGTGGAATAGACGGGTACCAGGAAGAGCCCATGATAATCACTTTGCATCACTTAAAGGCGCAGCAGGACACATGGTAAATCAGAGCCTAGGGCCCACCCTAAGTGAAACACATGTAGATATAAAAGGCAGTAGCAGCCCACTTTAACCTTCACAGCTAAATTGCCAGAGTGGTACAATTTCTTTTATGTAGGTTACAGGCCACTGAACTAATGGAAAACAGAGTTGCACTAAAGGACTTGGACGGAAGAACAAACCAACAACACTGTATAGCACAGATACAAATAAAGGTATTAAATAAAAAATGTAACTTTTTTCTCGGTAATAACTTTATTCAAGTTATCAAAACATCATGTAATTGTATATACTTTTGGTTCATTTAGGCTTTTAAACTATTTTCTGCTAAAACAACACTCTGCCACAAGAACTCTACTGTTTCTCATCCTGAGTTTTTAAGTTTTTCTAAGCCTTCTGTTGTTTACATTCTTGTAACAAACTTTCTCACACACTTTATGTAAATAATTTATTGTTTTGCATTCTTTTATGGAGGAAGAGAAATTTGATGGACTGTTGGTTTGTCCAGTGTCACTGGAGAGGTGGCACTGTCACCCTCCAATCCACTGTCACTTTTGGAAATCTATAAATATTACAGTCAGAAATTAATAGTGCTCTTTTTATCTCAGGAAAGCTGCGTGTCCATGTTGTGTTATTTTGTATCCTATAGCGACACTGTTAAAGTGTGGCAACACTTTTCTCATATTTTTCCTAACCTGGCACTGTTCACTATTAAGAAAATTTCACAATGAACACTTTTCCTGGTCATGTTTTCTGTCCAAAGGTGCAAATTCATGCACTTCAAAGATATAAAAAATACTTTGATGACTAATGTGGCTTTCAGTCTTCAGTATGCTTTGAAATAAACTTGTGATTTGCTTTGAAAGCTGCTTATTTTAAAAATGGGATCTCTGTCACTACAGACACCTGCACAGTCCCCATCAAATGCAGTGAGAAGTGTACACAGATTAACTGATCATCTCAATTTCCTTTACAAAAGTCATCCTTGATGAGTCAGAAGAGACATGACTAAGAAAATTGTGAACATGCACACTATGAAATAAAAGACCATGAGTGACAGGAAGAGCCAAACAATCCTGGGTCAGTGCTGCTGTTACTTTCAAGGCATGGATTTGCAGTAATTCCACGTTTTGATAGTGAAAAATCAATATTTACTGATGGTGGTTCATAAAATAAAGAAACTTGAGCAATTGTCAGGTATTCAGCCTGAATTATTCAGTTCACAATTAAAGTAAATCATAAATCCACATCATCCAATATATGAGATATCAGATTTTCCATACAAACATGTGGAAAAAACATATTACAAGATTACTTGTATGGTTTTGGTGATAAACATTTGTCCTGAAATGAAGTGTCTTCATTTCATCTTCTGTAGTATCTTCCAGTAACAAATCAGTCAGGAAAACCGTAACTCTGGGACATACCAAAAACGCAATTATTTGGGGAGCACTGTGGGTCCCATACACTGGTACCACAAAGCACACACCAACTGATCTTCAGCCTCAGGAAAACCTCTCCTTGTGTACATCCTTTCCATCATCACTCACCAGATGTTTACAGATGCACAGACCCATTTTGTGAGCAAAGCCACCCCAGTGTAAGCAGCTTCTACAGCACATGCTTTGTGTTTATTAGTCCCTGGTTTTATGTACGTGTCCACCTTGCAGTGGTTCCTGGGTGCTGGGTGAACTCAAGTGGGAAGGACAGGGAAAACCCACAGCACCATGTCCTTCCAGCCCGCCCAGGGACAGGGCACATGTTCCCTGCTCCCTGACTCTGCTCACCCTTACAGTGAGCCTTACAAACACCCTTCCAAACACACACCCTTATGTGTTTTACATAAACTGGTCAGTTCTTACCCTCCTGACCTATCCGTGACAGCAAAACCCAAACAATTGTTTTTTTAAAGAAGCAGAAAATGCTAGCGGGTATTACATGAGGTGCCAACCTGCCAAAGGCTTGTGTGATGCCCTGCATGGCTCCCAGGATGCAGGGCAGCTCCCGTGCTCCCTGCCTTGCCCCACACTGCAAGAAATGCCCTCCATGAGACCGAGCGAGGCACTGGAGGTGCCACTAAAGGCGCCACGTGCTGTCACCTGCGCCCTTCCCAAATGAAGGAGCTGGTTCCAAGAAAACCTCCATGCCAATCTAACCAGCACAACAAACAAAAAGAAAATGGGAGCGAGTACAGGTGATTAGCTAATTAGCGATTAAATAAAGCCGTGGCCTGTCGCTGGCAGGGAGGCTGCGGGGATGCCATTGCTTTGATCCCGAGCTGCAGCCGTGACAGCACAGCCAGGCCCTGGGGCGCCCTGGGGCTGGCTGGTGGCCCTGCCCAGCCTGCTGGCCCCAGGGGATGTCCATCACTCCAAAAAGAGCAGCACATGGGCCTGGTGGCCTGCTGGCCCCGGGGGATGTCCATCACTCCAAAAAGAGCAGCACATGGGCCTGGTGGCCTGCTGGCCCCGGGGGATGTCCATCACTCCAAAAAGAGCAGCACATGGGCTGGGCACCCCGCGGGCCGGCTGCTGGCAGCCAGTGCTGCTCAGGAGGGAACCAAGGGCTTGCCAAGGGCTTGCTCGCCCAGAATCCCTCGCCAAAATTTCGCTACGAGCGTTTGTAAAGTGTTTGCTCCAAAGCCAGGATGCGCAGCCGGCTCCTCGCCCTGGGAACGCGGCTCCACGACTTTCTTAATCCCTGGCCTCCCCTGGGCTCAAATGCTCCAGCCCTTGGACCCTTGCTGCTCTCACACTGCTCACAGCCCCACAAGTTCATTAATGTTAATTAATGACTGCTGTGTTTCATATTAAAATCACCAGCTCTGAGACACAAAGAACTTTCCATACATCAACTGCTTCAAAGCAATCGTCTCTACAGGCGTGCTGGCTCTCGGCTCTAGTTCAGGATAATTGTGCATATTACCCCTCAGGGAAGAGGGAAAAAACTACCCAGTATTTACCTTGGGGGAAGACTGCACCCCTGGAGAGCTACCTGTCAGCTCCTAATGGGTTACAACACTTGGCCTCTCAGCAAATTATACAAAATTACACCCTGGTTAGCAGAGAGAAGTGATCCACAAACCCATAGTGAAAGGCATAAGAGGTGTTTGACAGGCAAGAGAAGAGACCACAATGTGGGTGCACATACCAAAAGCCTTACAGCTCTAGAAGGTTAATCGGTATTGCTCATTTCATATAGCCTTGGATTATCCCACTAAGTATATTTTACACTCAATATATTATATTACTGCTATGCCTCCAAGGGAATGCTAGTTAAAAAAAAAAAAAAAAAAAAAAAAAAAAAAAAGGAAATATTTCAAATAGAGTAAACAGCTCTTCCCAGATTTTGACATTTATTTACACTGAAAACTAAAATGCAATTGCAAATCCAGTGCCTGATCTTTGCCATTCTTCCTCAGGCAAAATTCCTCCTGGAGGCAGCAGGAGTTTTATCTCAGTCACAGACTCTTGGAATGCAACTTTACCTGATAAAACTTTGTACCTCAGTTCCTCCAGGACTTCTGTGCCCATTCTCACACATTATCCACAGGCAAGGCTTCCCAACTGCTTAAACCCCATCTCAAAGTCTCCTTGTGGCCAGCCCAGCCACGCTGCAGACCCCAAGGGAAGGATGGTGGTGTTGGGATGGGAGAGGGCAGTGGGTCCCAAAATTGGGCACATCTGGGGCCACGGTGAGAGCAATAAACCAGAGCTGCTTCTCCCACCTGTCACTTAGGTCCCTCCAAACCTCATCTCACTGTGTCAATCACTAAAGGTTTATAAATGGCACTCGCTGGAGGCAGATGGGATTTTATGGACCCTGCATCACACAGTTCACAGAGCATCCCCTCCCCAGAGACCTGCTACAGCTGCTCCCGACTAAGTTAAACAAACTTGGGACCACCAAAGTCTCACAGCCAACTGTGCAACTCACTCAGATCAGTGGCACTTCCACGTATGTTCAAGGGGATAGCTTGGGTTTTAAGGTTTTTGAACAAGTCGGATTTATCCCATGGAAGCTTAAGACATTTTATCTGAAGACAGGGACAAACAAACTCCTTAACAGATGGAAACAGTTCCTCAGATATTAAGTAATTAAGCACACTCAGCACATGTTGGCTCCCAAAGAAAATTGTTTTGAAGAGATAAGGCACTCTATAAATTGAGGTTTGTGGTCAACTAAAAATCTGACATTTCATCTTTTGCTCACAAGGCTAATCTCATGAATTGGTACACGAAAAATGAAGATACAAGGAGCATTACATGATTTACAAAATTATCAGATTGAGGGGTTTTTCTAAGCTTCCATGCTTGTGTTCTTTCACTTTTCTGTGGTTGGCTAAGATTTAACAGGCAAGTAAATCTACTGCTTTTTGATCTGAAATTGCCTTTCTGTGCTTGCCTTGCTTCTAATTCCAGTGAGGAACGGAAGCAGCTTTTCTCTCCCATGGCTTTTCCAAGGAAGGCAAGCTTTGAGTTTCCTTACATTATGAACACATAAATTGGCAACCCTTTGTTGTGTCCAGGACAGCCTGGATGCTCTGGTGACCACCTTCATCCAGACCAAAGGTGCCTGAGTAAGACAAGGATTGCAAAGCAGTGAGCAGGCACAGCTTACCATGGCTCCTTCGCTCTTACTCTGGGCAACTTCCCGCTGCAGCCGAGCCACACACAGCTTCTCCCTGAGGAAAGAAAAGCCTGTGAGTAGCAGTTCATCCTCCCCTGGCTCCCCCATCGGGGCAGCATTCCTGCACATCGCTGGGGTAACCCCGGCAGGCCCCGCTCACCTCCCTGGGCTCCCCTGCAGTATTTGGTGGTTGTGTTATTATTTCATTTCCTGGCAGTTTGACAGAGCTGTCAATAAATCAGCTGAATCCAAACATCATTTGTTTCATTCAAACAACAAAGTAGCTCATCATGCCAGTGATATGGAAACAGACTGTGCAAATCAGATTGTGTTATTTATTTTCCTATGGCCCTGCACATCAGCTTTATTCTGCACCATATTAACACATGCCAGAAGGCTGCTGCATCATCAATAAGTATATGCATAAAATTGAAATTAAAACCAACTATTCTATATATAAACACATTGTGATGCATTTTGCAACTACTGAATTATTAGTTTTTTGGTTTTTTTTTTTTAATTAGCCTTTTTTCATATAAAATCCTTATACTAATGTTTGGCTCGACTCAACTAATAATTAATTTGCTTAAGGATTTGGCAACCATAACACATTTTCAAGCCCACTGAAAAGTTCTAAGAAATAAATGAAAAGTAGCAATTAGCATACATAGAAAAGGAAAGATAATTTCCCATTGTATGTCTTGGGGAAACTCCATCCCCCAAAAACTTGCAAAGGTGCCCAGCCAGGGCAGAAGTAGGACCCAGGCTCTGAAAATGCTCTTATCATTGACTGTGTCACTCTCATCCAGCAGAAAAACTGACTGCCCTATGGTATTTCATTCCCAACCTTGCAGAAAAAAAAAAGTAGCCTTTAAACCATTTCTCAGGAACCATTCCTGATGAGGAAAATCTACACGTGCCTGCCTAATTCCTGTGGAATGACAGCGCTCCTGTCGCTCAGCCACAGCTCAGAGTATGCTCAGAGTATGGGTCACTGCACCAGGGCCCCTCTTCATTTCAGCAGAAGATGTGGTGTTTAAGCTGAGTCTCTCTACTGGTCACTGAGCAACCCACGTGCTCGATGCACCCCTCAGCATTCCCCACCCAGCCAACAATCGTGGGTATCAGATTAGCACCAGGCATTGCCAAAATCCTGATCTGTAAACAGAAATGTAGAAATTGTGTTTGTGTTCTCCAGCGTGATATCAAGACCTTCTTTGACACGTGAAAAATTATGGAAAATTGAGAAGTGGCATTAATCCAGCATCGAGAGCCTTAACACAGGTGTCCTAAACTCATCTTCTAAAAGACACATACCTCTCCCCCCTTTCCTTGCTCAGATACTATCACAGGCACATTATAAAACTGGTTAATCCTATTTTTAGGATTTAGTTCATCTGCTGGAAATAGCCCCTTGCATTTTTGCACTGCTTCAGTGCCCTAATATGTTCTAGTGGAAAAAGAAAGTATTCCCTTTGAGGGGGTTTTGACCTTTTAATTGCAAAACAAATGCCTAAAGATATTTTATGAGAAAATATGCGAGGGGTGGGGGAAAATAAACAAACTCCCCCACAAACCACTCCTCCATGCACTTCCTGCCAGTGGTCTGCAGAGATTTATTTAGCTATGTCTCCTGCATCAGGAATACTCCTATTCCCTCACTCCATGTTACCTGCAACACGGAATTGCTTAAACATTTCTGGAATTTTATTGGAATAAATTTCACTCAAGGTCCATCCTCCATCAATGCCAGGTCTCCCTGTCTGGGTGAAGATCCTGGCTGACATTCCCAAAGGGTTTTCTTAGCAATTTTCCCAGTGAAGGACAGCAAAGACTGTCACTCTCTAACTTTTTTTACAGCATTGCTGCTGTTAGGAACAGAACCACTTTTAAATAGCAGAAAATGAAAAAGAAACCTGAATATTATGTAGAAAAGGGGGGAAAAAATTGCCACAGTGGGTACAGAAGAGCCAACTTTACCAACAGTGTCTACAAATAGTCAGCTTTGAGGCAAGCAAACTTTGTGCTCGTGCTTCCTCCCTCCCACCTGCACTCCCCAGGTGAAGGAGCTGTGGACTCACAGCCAGACCATGCAGATGGTTACCCTCCTCTGGGCAGGATGAGTGGCAGAAGCTCAGCGTGCCTGGGGACCACAGGCATCCCTGAGGCTGTTCCAGGGAGCTCTGTCAGGGATGCACTTGGCCCATTGCCCGCGGTGAGCCATTTCCCACCAGCTCCATACAAACACGCCGGTGTGCAGGGCAACGAAGGTGCTCAGACTTCCTGTACAAGCCAACAGCATTTAAAACTAATTTGCAGTGTTGGAAGTTTCCATATGAGATAGATGACAGGAAAAAACAAGGACCTTCATGTCTAAGGATGACCAAATAAACCCTCTAGTTATTATACACCATCTCAGTCAGTTAAGGCAGCACCTTCAGTGACTACTCTCAGCCCCCATTTTTAACATGGTGTTACGACTAAATAAACAATTTACTATGATTTGAGTTGTAAAAACCATAAGGTTTTAGCTGTTTTAGCCTTTCAGATGTTTCAAATGCAAAGAACATTTGACATGCAGCTTCAAAGCTAATCTCGTTTTTTTAATCTTAGCTTTTAAATAGGAAAAAACAGTAGCATCACTTTGTTGCTATATGGTTTTATTTATTTTTAATCAAGCATGTTTCATCCCTATAGCATGTTTAATTAACAAAGTTAATTAGCAACTACAGCCAACCTGCAAGGAAACAAAATCTTCTCTGGGGATTAAAAAAATTAAAACATGTTCACTGAGGAGGTCTCATGTTCTCTTTTGAAAAACCTCCAAATGATAAAAGGTTTACAAAAATGCTCTTTGAAAGCACAGTTTATGCTCTTAGGTTTGAATATTTGTATTGTAAGTGGCAAAATTCCCAGCCAAGGACTTTGCAAAGAAATAATTAAAGAAGCCAAACAAGGATTCAATTATATCCTTTCCAGATGGAACCAAGCACAAAAGCAGTCAGTGTGTGCATGGACGAAAGATACATTTCAAATCTCAGTATCACTGGTAGATATTGCAGTAGCTTGCTCTAAAAAACAACAGTTTGAGGAAAGCCCATTTAGTCCAAGAAAAACATAAATGTGCTAAATAATTCTGCATATTCAGAACTCTTCTTAGACTAAAATTTCTTCTTCACTCTCCTTTCCCACCAGGTTCGACTGATTCAACTGCCAGACAAAAGAAGCCCTGTATCAGGTGACAGTAAGAGCTCAGGGCTCCACCACAGAGCTGCACTGCTCCAGCTTCTCCCCATCCACCAGGACACAGGCAGGGAAGTCAATTCAGGCAACGAGCCTCTACCTAATTATCAGAATTATCTCCTGATTCTGAACAAACGCTGATACTCCTCCTGATGTGGTAACACAACTCCTCAGATCAAGCACCACAATAAAAGCCACACTGGATCCATGAAAGGCTCCATTTTTCTCCGTTGTTCTTTTTGTATTGCTTCTGTACATTGATACAATAAACCCAAAAACTCTAGCAGTGTACTTCAGCTTCCCAAACTTTGGTCTTCATTTCTGTTTGGAAACCTCAGATTCAGAAACTGCCAGATATAGGACTTTGCACCTCCATCTAACAAAGAAAGATATTACTTAAATTAGCTTCTGAACAAAGTAAAATGGTGCTGCAATATATCCATTTGCCAAGACCCAAGCTGTACAGAACTAGGATGTATTTTCAGTGGTAAATAGTAATTTTACTTTTTTAATGATAATAGTAAGTGAAGAACATTTGATAAAATGTAATGAAGAACACAGTCAAGACTCAACAAGAACGGGAAATATTTTAAAATCATCATCTGAAATTTAAGCTCATGCTTCAGCAAACCTTAAGCCCCACGATCCCCTGGGAGAGGGGCTCCATCCACCCTGACATTGTCCTTTCCTGTCCTGATCAGCCCCACAACATTCCAGCATGCATTGACAGCTCTTACATTTTCAACAAGTGTCAACATTTACAAAGATTTCCAACTTTTCCTATTTTCTAAGTAAATTATTACTTCTCTGCACAACAAGATTCAATAGGTATGAAGCTCCCAAGTTACTAATTTGTTTCTCTACCCACCTTTTTTTATTCAAGAACAGGAATGTGTTTTCTTCATGTTTCATCCTGTCTTGGAATTTTTCACTCTGAAGCAGTTTCATTTAGAAGCATCGTGCAGTACAAAGTGAAGCTCACCTTTCTTTATCACTTTATAACTTTCACTATTTGAAAAGCCATAAAATCTCCACTGACAAAGTCAAGCTTTGAAAATACAATGAACATTTGTTTTATTGTTGGTGACTGTGGCCAAGTACAATGGCCAAGCCATACTCCAGCGAGTCCTTCCATACCTTCTGGAGGCTATTTTGGAGCAGAGAAATCCCAACCAAGTTTCCACTTTACACTATTGCTGTGAGATTCAGAACATGAATAAATACTTTTTCTGATGGAGAAAAAGCAAACAGAAGACTGACAGAGACTCAGAACCCGAATTTGCAAAGCTTCCTTGTACCTTGGAACCACTCCTTGTCTACCACTTATCAAAATATCATCTATATAACTATTCCCCCTCTATATCATTATTTGTAGCCACAGCACTGAAAAAAAAAAAAAACCAGTTAAGGAGGTCTAGACCTCTTCTGAACATTGAAATGGTTTTTAACCTTGCTTATGCAGAAAAGCCATCAAGTGAAGAGAAAAAGCTTTATAAATAACTTTATGAATAATTTTCATTAGCAACTGCAAAATAATTAGAATGACAAGAAATAGAGCCATCAAGCAAGACATGGGTGTGGTGTCAACCATCACAATCAATACAGTTTCTTGACTGAGAAAAAAATATTAAGAAAAAGGGTTTTTTTCCTCCATTATACACATATTGAGTTGGAGGATAAAAGATTAATGTCTGTGTGATACAATGCCAAATCATTGAGATAATTATGAATTATACCAAGCAATCATTTTACACATCTCCTGGAACATCTCACTTTATGACCATTATTCATAAGATTATGCATTCAAC